TACTCTGTGTATTTTGTTTAAACTTAATAGTAATTTAAATAGCTCTAGTACAATTAGACCAAGCTTTGTATATCATACTTCCTGAAATATAATAATTCTATGAGGCGAAATCCTGATTCAAGGTAGCCGATTACACAGGTGTTAGCCAACCCAGTCATTCATCGCCAGCCCTGGTGGTATCTCTCAGCCAAAGGTCATCCTAGGCCTTTGTGGCTAGTCAAGGAGCAACCATGTCCTTTACTGGCCAGAATCCTTCTTGACGCCATCTGACTGTGCTTCCTTTACCTGCTCTGTGAGTACTTCACCTCCCTCCTTCTCCTTCTTTTCACGTGTGTATATATCCTAGTCAGAAGCCCCTGGGGACCCAAATGCTCTGAGCTTCTAACAAGCTGTCTGTTTCTGGCAGGGGCTGCAGGGCCGGGAGAAGTGGAGGGGGCAGAGGAAGGCACATTCCTCTCTTTTTACTCAATGCCCTCCCACCAGGATGTCCTGACTATGCTCTCAGGGAATCCCCACAACTTCTGGCCAGTGCAGTTTCAGACAGAAGCACACACGTTTCAGTCGACACACTGATTACCCAGCATTTGGGGTGAGCCCTGAAACCTCTCATCAGGGGGATAATTTTCAAGCAGTGTTGGGGGCTGGGAGGTTTCTGAACGACCAGCATCTACTGTCAAAAACTCATACTGAAAAGATAATTACAGAGGTGAAAGAAAGGTCCACAAAGAAATGAACTGTGGTCTCACGGTACTCACTTGCTATCTAAGAATGGACGCTGGATTCGTGGGTATATGCCCAGGCGTGGGGCTGCTGGGCCACATGGTGGTTCTGTTTTGGGGTTTTTGAGAAACCTCCATACTAATTCCCACAGTATCTGCACCAATCTACATTCCTACCAACAGTGCACAAGGGTTCCCTTTTCCCCACATCCTTGCCAACACTGGTTATTTGTGTTCTTTTTGATGATGGCCATTCTGACAGGTGTGAGGTGGTGTCTCACCGTGATTTTGATCTGCATTTCCCTGATATTGGTGATGCTGATAAACTTCTCATGTTTCTGTGGGCCACCTGCTTTTTTCTCTTTTGGAAAAACGTCTGTTCACCTCTTCTACCCATATTTTAAATGGATTGTTTGTTTGTTTGCTTTTTAATTGAAGTACGGTTTATTTAAAATGTTGTATTAAAAAAAAGAATGGACACTGGAAGAGGTTGAACAAATTCAGGCTCACGGCATGTTTTTTTCATCTAGTTTTTCATTATGGAAAACGAACAGTGAGAAGATGGTGAGATCTGAAACCCATCACCGCCTTACCCTACTGTGACACCCAATAAAGATGCCCCATCTTGCTTTGGTCAGAGTCACAGTGGAAGAAACGGCCAGGTTGGCGGAAGGGACTGCCACAAATACGGATATTTACCCTCCTTTCTTTAGGAGGTAAATATACACTACCCATGCCCCAGCGTCCATGACAAACAGAGCAAATGAGTTAAAGAATAAATGTAGAGTGGCATGATGAACTTGGTCAGCAGATACATTTATTCTCCGCAAATACATCCTGTAGCAAATACACATGGTTCCCTGGGTCATTGTCAACGAGCCGTCCAGTGTATGCTCAGAGGGAAGGAATTACACTGAGGGGAGCAGTATCCTGTCTCAAAAGCCTCTTAACGCTTCCAGCGCAGGAAGCGTCTGTTGATTTTCCCTCCCGTCCTAAATTGTAAGTCAAGCCATTCCTTTGTGTTTGGTTTCACCCCGGTATCACAGCCCAAAGAGGCAGTGCCAAATGCCACCAAGAAATCGGCGCTGAATTAGCCTCACACCGTCTCCTGTCCCAGCTCCTCTGACCATTATTAACACAACTAGAAATAGTACTTATGTCATCCTCGCTCTCTGACACCCCCTCCCCACTAACATTCCCCAAACTTATGATCTTGAAACTTCCATCCTAACCTCGCACTTTAGCCAAGAGTTCTGGGAGCAACGCGAGGCAGATGGCAGACCCTGGCCCAGTGGCTGTGCCGACAGACGCTGTGATTGTGGACCACGCATCTCCCTTTGACTGGGTTGCCTCTAAACGCTCTGTTTATGTCACTTAACTCACTCAGAAGCCCGAGGAGACAGGCGGGCTCTTCCTAGTTCTGTTACTGGAGTTGCTTTCATTGAGCATTTTGGAGAAAGCTGCAGTGTGTGCGTGTGCGTAGGGGGAGTGCCCTCTTGTACACACGGCATGCTGAGATACAACCACACTGTCCGTGAACTTCCATCCTGAGCTCTGTCTCCGAGCCGGGCAGTTTACTGAAACTACGCATCAGCCATGCCTCCTGCAAAGTCACACTAGATGCCCGTCTCCTAGCAGGGATTTATCAGACATTCACACTCTTATGGTCGAGAAGAAGCAGTTCCTAGAGGAAATGTCTGCCCAGCAGAAGGAAACTCTAGGTCATAAGGGGTGAGTTGAAGGTCTGGTTTAGCTGCTAATGCATCCTGGGACAAGGCAAGTCCTCTTCTCATGAGCTGCCCACAGCTTTCCCCTGAGGAAATGATGAATTGCGTGCTTTTATGTTTATTTAGTAAAAGTCATTTCTACAATAAGAAAGCAAGAAACATTGGAAAATAACTCTCTCAACTTAAAGTTCTCATAAAATGGCTCATCCAAACTTCCAAGAGGACAAAAATTTTTTTTCTGAGTTCCCCTGAGAATAAGTGGGCCCTTATTGACTTTATGAAAAAGTGTCCAGGAAGTTTTGCACTGAGAAGGTGCCAGAGTCGTGTCTTAGGGATGACAGACCCCGGGCTGGGATCAGAGACCACCTATGGGCTGGCGGGGTCCCCGCCTCTGGAAAGCAGAGGAGATGTCACATGAACAGAAGAGAAGGCGCCTCTCAGTGACATCTCCATCAAGAAGATCCGTACAGTTAATTTCTTAAAGCTTTTTCGAGG